TTTTTCGCCTTTTGCAGGCATTTAAAAAATTTGGCGTTTTTTGGCGTTTTAAAAAAAAAAAAAAAAAAAAAAAAAGAGATAACACTGCGGATATGTTTCTGGGAAACATGGTCATAAACGCACAATGAGATTTTTTTAGGAAAGGAAGTGTGCGTGTTGAATCTGTCCTAGTTTTGTAGCATTGGCGATATTTATTATATGAGCTTAAAGGTAGTAATACACTGTTTGAATTTCAGCTAATTCACGCTGAATTGGGCAATATATGAGCCGTCAGTGGCCCTGTGGGCATCACCTTGCTCAACAAACTTTGAAAAATCAAGGAGATGGGTAGAGGAGCCCTATCAGATGTAGTAATTGTTTGGGTCGTCCGCTCATAGGGTGTTGGCTGTTTGAATACAATAGCCAGCAGGGGAGATTTCTTCCTTTTCTACTTGTTCATGTAGCATTTAAAGCTTACCTGATTCAATGCAAATTGCTGTTTACTTAAGCTATTGTACTACATCCAACATCAGATCTATCGTGTTTCCCTTTTGAAGCAGTTGAGCTATCGTTTATCTTCATCCCACCTGTATGCATTTTGTGGATCAGTCATGCATTATGGACAATAGAAATGGTTCAAATTTTGTCCCATAAGGGAGCTGTATGTATGCATTGCAGTACAGCCTGGTGCCATCAGGGACAGAGTAGGACTCTGTTTTCTAAGAGACGTGGTCGATCCCAACATATACTTTCCCCAACTACATCTTCTCCCCACCAATGGCACACTTCTTTTAAAAGGTTCAGACACCTCCATTATGGTGAATTCCTAGACTGAGGTCCATGTTCAAATAGCAATTTTGGGTGAGCCCATATTCTATCAGAGTCCACAGTTGCTAACCCCCTATGTAATAATACAGAACAGAAGTTTCCCAGCACACTTACTGGCTAACCTACAACAAAACAAATTGCCCTGTCTGAAGGTTCCCATACACCTTGCGATTAACGAACGCAATCGCGGTTTCGTATGATAAATTGGCCAGTTGATGGGAAGTGCACGATCGCCATTACTGTACAACTGGCTGAATTTCATTGCATGAGCACATTAGAACACGTTCGTCGACATGCACGAAAATCGATGGATTAGTGGCGTTTTTCGTACAACAAAAATCGCAACATGAACACTGCACATGCGCAAACGAAAATCCGTTCTGTTGATCAACGAAATTCGACCAGTTAGTATTTCTAACAAACGATAATTGAAAACTAAATTGGTCTGTGCATGATGTGGTATTCGAGAGGAAATTGAACGGGGGTTCGATGACAGGACAAAAATCTAACGATGGTTGTAAGGTGTATGGCCAGCTTAACAATATGCGTTCGAAACAGAGGTTTTAGTTGCACAACATTTTTGCAAAAAAATATGTAGAAGCCACACTGCCTCGTCAAGGCTCCTCTCTGCAGTGTTGTCCTAACTCTAATTTTTGTGAGTCTCTCCCTATTGGAGCATATTCAAGCAGTTGATAAAATGCTGGAGCCCATTCCTCAAAGGTACAGGGACGCACTGGAGGCCCAGCAATCCAAAATGCATGCTGGGGCCGCAGTGCATCCCCGCGCCAAATACAGCCAAGCTAAAGATGCATGGCAACCGCACAACTTATAACTTTCCTTTGTAGCTAGGTGCACATGGAAGGGCTTACAACAATACAAAATGCAGAAGCTTGCAAAACAAAAATCAAAAAAGGAACACCTCAGTACTGTAAGCAGAAGAACTAACCTCTAAGCCGCAGAGTTATCCATTAGATGGAACTCCAGCTGTGGTGCAACTACAAATTCCATTAAGCATTGCTAGACTGACTGCCAGAGGCAGATGCATGGTAGGATTTGTAGTTTTACCTACCCCTGAGATAGATGCTAGTTGCATTTCACAGTCATATTGAATTTGGTAATATGCTCATACTACAGATGCCCTTAGTGTTGCCACCTTTTCTTCAAGCGAAACCCGAACACTGTAGCGACGCGCGGACATTTTTTGGGGTGAATGAGTTGCGGCTTATTCATATGTAAATATCACAGTTGGGCCTTTTCTCAGTGGGGGGCCAGTAGCCCCTGTCTTAACCACTTGCTGACCGGGGTGTTTACACCTCCTTCCTGTCCAGGCCATTTTTCAGTATTCAGCGCTGTGGTACTTTGATTTCCGTTTATCCCGTCATGCAATGCTGTACTGAAATTAATTTTATACCATTTTTTGGGGACAGATAGAGCTTTATTTTGGTGGTATTCACCACTGGGGGTTTTATTTATTTTTTATATAACAAAAAAATCTGAATATTTAAAAAAAAAAAATATTTCCCCTTCATCTTAGAAAACAATTATTTTTGCCCAATTTTTTTGGTAAAATACAAAGGGCGGGGTCACGTCGGGTAAATGGACACCAAACATGTCAAGCCTTAAAATTGCGCGCGCCGGCGAAATCGCAAAAAAACCCATAGCCAAAATTTGCCATAGGCGACACTTTAAAAGATTTTCCCGCTCATCAGTTTAATGTTATCAGTGATTGATGGCCCTAAAATTATTGCTCTCATTGCGACCGCGGCGATAGGTAACACGTGCAACATAATTGAAGCAATCGCCGTTTTTGCGTGTAGGCGCATGTAACGCATTTTTGCGTATCTATGTGGGGGACTTTTAAAGAATTTTATTTTTGTTTTTTTTTCTGTTTTGGGTGTGTACACTTAACTTTATTGTTATCACATACGGTGCATACGGTGCTTCTATGTGATAACAAATTACAGTTACAGGTCCCCTTTATGGAGACATCAGGGGTCTCTAAGACCCCTAATGTCACCTAGGGACCCCCAGAGAAGCTGATGAAGCACAGATCTGCTCCATCAGCTTCTCTCCGGTTTCTGTACCGGAGAGGGACGGGAATGCGGAAGTAATGTAATATACATCACCTCCTGCATTCAGAGACCGGGAGGAGATCGCGTACTGATCTCCCTCCATTTTCAGTGAACAGAGCCACATTGCCCGGAACGGTTGGCCGCCTGGGATCGCAGGGACGGCGACCAGAGGTAGGGAGGGGGGGCGCACCCTCACCTGAATCATACAAGCGATCGGGTGTCTTTACAGACACCGGACCGCTTGTATGTAAACGGCCATCGCTGGACGTTTAAAATCCTGGCGGGCTCCCGCTCATGCGCACCAGGGCGCGGGCACGAAGGATGTCTAAAGACGCTCACCCGCATCCAGGAGACTCGCGTCCGGCCCTCTTTCAACCATCGGTGGACGGGAAGTGGTTAATTTTGGTTGCCCCTGTCTGCCCGACATCTTTTGTCCGGGTTTCTGCTGCCATGAAACCCGAACACAGCATTCAAAACCCGGAATGTCCGGGTGAATCCTGGACAGGTGGCAACCTTAGATGCCCTCTAGGCAAGCTTCTAAGGAAAGAAGCTCAAATTGTGGCCCAAACATTGCTCTCCTCATCTAACCACTACAATGCAAAGCCTAGCCTGGTGTATGTGGAAGCATATATTAAGCCGGTCAGTGTGGCATATTCTCTCACACCCAACTGTTGTGTGTACTCTAAGTGGGATGGAAACGCTGAACAAAGTGCCACATTTTAAAGTGACATTAAATTCAGAAGTTAAATCTCAAAAATGTATTCAAGTACCTTTTTAACTAATAACAAACGTGCAGCTTTGGTACATTTTTGTTAATAGGGTACATGAATGCATTTTTTTAGATTTTAACTCCTGAGTTAAGTATTACTTTAGGGCCTCATTCTCACTGCTAAGAGCTGGCCCATACAGAAAATCCGGGCAGCGTGCACGGCCGTATCGGGCCACTTCTGGGAAGGACAGGTGCTGCATGCAGCCTGTTCTTCTCTATGGGAGTACGCGGCCGTAGGCTCCCCCAACTGCACATCCGTGCGGGTGTCCGTACTCATACGCAGATGGGATGGATCCTGTCTGCGTCCGAGCACAGATATCCGCACCCACACGGATGTGCAGGTGGGTTGAGCGTACGGCCACATACTCCCATAGAGAAGAACAGGCTGCTCCGTGCAATCACACGCAGCACCTGTCCTTCCTGGGAGAGGCCTGATACGGCCGTGCACGCCGCACGGATCTGTACGGGGCTGGCTCTTAGCGTGAATGAGGCCTAAGTGTTGTTCAGAATATAGCCCCTTTCACATGGGTGGTCCGATCAGGTCGGTCTGTCATATATTATTTCTTTTTTTTTTTTTCCGGACCTGATCGGATGCCCAATGCTAGTGTATGGGCAGCCGGGTGTATACAGGTGGGCGTCCGTTCACACTCCTTAACCCTCAACTCCAGTCAGGTCCGGAAAAACAATTGGATCCGAGATCCATTTTGCCGGACCTGATCGTGGCAGATCAGGGGTTCTCTGATGTAAACGGTCAGTTTACATCTGACGCCCCATTGGGACAGACCGACATGGGGTCCAGCAGTTTTAATTCTTAAGTAAGAAACTGGACGGACACTAATGTCGCAGCGGTGAACTCAGATCTGTACTGTTCCGATCAGGAGGGGACTCGTGCACAGATCCTGCACAGATCCTGATCAGCCTGTGTGTAAGGGGACTTACTTGGATAGAAACAAATACAATAACAGACATTTATTTTAGTAAAGCTTTACATTTTCTTTTATGACCAATATGTTAACCAGACCTTATGATGATGTATGTACACTGATAGTAAGAACTATTAATACGATTTATGTACTTCTAGTTAAAAAAAATAAAATGCATTAATATATTGAGGCAATCGCTTGCTTTACTGTGTTAATCTTGGGAAAACCCCCATCCCTTCCCTTTTGAAACTCCTAATGGTTTTGAGCACACAGAGAATTTCCAAACAGTCTGGTCTGGTGACTTCAGCTTTTTTTTTTTTTCTTTGCAAACCTATAAGAGTCGACTTCCTTCTTTACAGACCTCATTTGGAAGGCTCTCTGCTGGCTTCACAGTGCACAGCTCTCTAACTCTGCATTATGCATTTACAGGAATCCATCTGTATCTGGGTCCGAGACCCCCAAATACAGAAAGAAGACTGGCATTCTTATCTGGATTATGAAATCTGCATTCACGTAAGTACAGCTGTATGGGGAACTTTCAATTATTTTGGCATTTAAAACAAATTCTGTTTTTTAATGACATGGAGTTGACATGGAGTGTCAATGATCTGTAAACTTTATGGAGATTCCATACAGCTTTAAAATCATACTGTAGGTCAATGTGTGTTTTTATGCAATTGTTTTTTTGTGTGGTGTGTAAATTTTGAACACAAATTTGAACTATTGATAAGGCATGGTAACTGATTTTAAATGGTTTTATGTAGATTTATTCAGTTTTTATTTTTTTTATTTTGACTACGCATATTTTAGGCTGCCCAGGCAGTTAGTGCTAATAGACATTTAAAATGCTGCTGAAATTGTATATATTGTATACATGATAAATAGGGGGGAACCAAGGAAAGATCTGAATGATTGTGTGTAATAGTAAACAATGAATCAACTATTCCAACATATTTACACCAAATATATTCTATACACTAATTATTAACATGGTATACGTGAGTGTCTAACTTACCACTCCAGCTTTTGTGACTTCCTGTATAACCGATTTATTTGAAGGTCATGGAGAAATAAATTGTATGTACATATAGGGAGGTGTGTGTGTGTGTGTGTATAGGGAGGTGTGTGTGTGTGTGTGTGCGCGCGCGCATTTGATGTATAGAGATATATACATTTTTAGCCCATGCTGTTAATCTTCTGTGTGTGTATATATATATAGCACAAATTGTTTAGGCTGTTGAAGGGGGGGTGCACATTGCATAGAATTTGTTTTTTAAGGTAATGTAAAAGGACAATTATATTTATATATCAAATTTTTTTTTTCTCCATACAAGTCAATGTGAGTAAATATTAAACATATGTCAAATGTATGGCAAATGTACCTTGAAAATTGGACATGTTTTTATGTTCTGTGCAATAGACGTTTCATTTCCTCTTTTTGGTAGTCAATAGTCTCGGAGAACAGGTAATATCAGAGTGGAGTATAGTTTGTCATAAAGTTATGTCACCTTCATGGTGTACAATGCTCTCAGATACCCCCTTTAAGTTATAGTGTTAATTGTTTTATGTCAGCAGGTGCCAGGTGAGGTGTACTGAGTGCTTATCCTGTCTATTTATATCTGCAGACAAACAGCATGTGCTTTACAGTGAAAACCTCGCGAGTGAGAAGGAGATTCCGAGAATTTGTTTGGCTACGTCAGAAGCTTCAGAGTAATGCCGTGTTAATGTAAGCCTTTTTACAGCTGTTTTCTACACTACCTTTTCATCTATTCTATGACTTGGTAGTACTGGGTTATTTTGTTTTTGTAGCCAGAATACTTTTCAGAATTGGTTTAGGAAATTTTTTTTGTTTCTACTGTTATACTGTATGGCTAAAGGTATGAGGACACGCCTCCAAATTTCAGTTCAGATGCACAGATCCATAAAGACATGGTTTGCTAAGTATGGTCTGGAGGCACAGAGCCCTGAAAGTAAACCTACTGAGCTCCTTTGGGTTGAATTAACATGTGGCTTGTGAGCCCTACTGAGCTCCTTTGGGTTGAATTAAAATGTGGATTGTGAGCCAGGTCTTCTAAAACATCCGTACCCAAACTCTCAAATGCTCTTTTAGCTGAATGGGCACAAATTTCCACAGATACAAAGAAAGCCTGCCTGGAAGGATGGAGGCTGTTTAACATACAGGGGGTGGTGGGCAAATATAATTTCCAACAAGCTCACGTTGGTGTGGTGGTCAGGTTTTCAAAAAACTTTGGCTATAAAGTAAGCATTACACATGAGTTGTAACTTCTTCACAAGCATTTCCGGCCCTAAGGTGGCAGAGGAACATAGAACAGGGGGACACTATGGTCTTAAAGGAGAACTATGGGGTTAAGGCTTTTCTCCATAGTTCTCCGGGTAACGGGAGGACACAAACTAGCATCCTCCCGTCACCCTAGGCTCAGTATACCGCGAGCTGTAGCTGAGACTGAGACGTAGCTGAGACAGACGCTGAAGCGGATCCCGACAATTGTGCCGGGATCCGCCCAGCTGTGTGACTGACAGCTGGCTTCCAGTCAGCGCTGGCGGATCGGAGCGGGGAGGGGGGAATCCAGCCCCTCCCCTGTCACGGCACAGGATCGAGAGGTGAGTGATTGCCGGTATGTGTTCGCTCACCTCCCAATCTGCTGAGCCGACCTGTGACAGTCTCATTGTCACAGGTCGGCTAGAACTATGAGGTGAGTGAAAAGCACCCACCTCCTAGTTCTCCTTTAACACTTCACTATTAACAAAAATGTAGCTTTTATTGTGCGTCACTGGGCTGTAGATCTTCAAATGATCTCTGAATTGGTGCTGACACTGTCCTTCCTTCTGGAGGGTGGCTACTTTTGTTCCCCATTGTCCCTGTTTGTTGTGAAGTAGCTACTGCTCCAAGCTCACTCCTGTGACGGATTACAATCTCAATGCAAATTAGTAAACTAAGTGCGAGATTGTAGTCCATCACGGGAGTGAGCTTGGATCAGTGGCTACTTTATAACACACACAGGGACCATGGGGAACATAAGTAGCCACCCTCCAGAAGGAAGGACAGTGTCAGCTGTCGAGCCTCAAATCATCTCTGAATTGGTGCCGAGTGATACACAAATAAGATACATTTTTGTACCTGAATGCATTTTTTAGATTTAACTCCTGAGTTTAGTATCACTTTAAAGAGGTTGTGATGGTAATGAAAAACACATGAACTATAAAGAGATTTAAAAAAAAAACAAGAGCAACAGTTATGTATGCAGATTTTCTGTATTGGCTGGTTTTCCATGGCACACTGGAATAGCCAATTAATGTTCATCTGAGGGATTCCCCTCCCATAGAGCTCTATTCCCCCCTCCCATCTAGTGCGGCCCCTATGCATTATCCTATCATTACAAAGAGAGTACAGTCTTTTAGATGTTTTCTTTCACATGCATATCTAAATAGGGAAACCATTAACTTGTACATAATCTTATCAAAGTGTGATAATGGTAAAAAACTTGTTTCTATTTACACTTTACACAATGCCGCCTCAAAGCATTGTGAGAGGGAGCAGTAAGTTACTTCCATTGTGTAGCACAGCATGAAGAAAAACCTGCATATGTGATATTAGGCCTACTATACATATTCAACTTGGGTAGGAGTGAATCTGTAAATTCCAAAACACACTGATGAGATTTATTTACAAGCTGATCTTCTACCTGCATCTCTAAAGTAATTCAAGAAAACCTATTATCTTAAAGGACCGCTTCCCCAAAAACAGGGAGTCAGAATACATTTCTTTTCAGGGGCTTTGTTCCTACTGAGAGCCCAGTAGAGAGATTTTATTTAAATACAGCTATGGTGGGCAGAGGTTTGGTTTCTGTCTAAACTACTGTTTTTTGCAGATTAAGTGAATTCTCCATGTATTCCTGTGCTGAATCCATAGAGGTGCAGAGCTCAGAAATGCTTGATCTGCATTTTAGTGGCATGTCGTGCATGGTGACAGCTGCAGCTTTGCTGAAAAGCCAACTCGGCTTGCTTATAGTTGTGCAAGCAGTGGTGAAGATCTTCCTACCAGAATGTTGGATAACTACCAAGACTCATTAGGGGTTTGAACCTTACTCCAACCACTTGACAAAAGAAATGATTTTGAATATACAGATATGTCTATTGCTTAACCATTAACAAACCGGTAAACGGCTACCTTTTCATTGAAAGATGACCGTCGTAGTTTGGTGCCTCCTACAGACATTTCCACTACCCTAAATCTAGCCATATACATGCAGCTCGCAGACTGAACAAGAGAAATCGAATAGACTTCTCCATCCATGTTAAACTACATACCTGCGGGTGTCTGAATACCCAAAGCGTGACCATCGGATTTGGCTTTAGTCAATGGCTGGAAATTTTTATACCCAGTTCTACAATTTTTCAGTAGAAGTTTGTTGAGCTAGGTGGTGCCTACAGGGCAACCCATGGTTCAAATTTTGGACGGTTCAGCAGAAATCACCCAAAATTTGAGCCATGTATGGCCAGCTTTATAGCGGTTTTCATAGGAAGGCCTTTAACCCATGCCTTTTTATATTGTCCACATGTATAATGTGTATATACTGCTCCAGCTAAGATTTAATTTTTTTTTAATCCTTTTATTTTAGTGATCTGCCAGAATTGCCACCTAAAATCCCATTCTTCAACATCAGTAACACACAGACTGTGGAACAGCGCGCCCGTGGCTTGCAAGAGTTCCTAAATAAGTGAGTATCTCTTGAATAGAGCCGACTACACATCAGATCATTCATGTGCTGTGTAACAGAGCCATCTAGCGGTGCTCCTGAAATGGAATGAAGCGTCCCTTTTGTATTCTGTACTCCATCCCCTTTGTTTAAGCGCCCATCCCCCATCGATCCAGTATGCCACTGAAAAGGAACGATTCCTATAGAAACACACTGAGGGGGAGCAGAACTGCACATTAGGATATAGAGGGGGGTTATTTCCTGAAAACAACAAAATGTGTTCTACTAATATACATTGTAAATGGAAGTCCACTAACTGATTTGAATGGAGATGACTGGGGTGTGTTGTGTAGTAATATTGCTGCTGCCATACTGATGTCATCAAATCCTCCTTTCCTAAAAATCTAAAAAGGTTTCCTTTTTTTGGCATCAGATTCTTATTCACGTCTCTATTTTCTCTATTGGGTCCTTACAGGTCACAGCTAGGCTTGATTTTTATAGCTAGGCTAGTTGTGTCGCTGACTTTTTGGCATAAGATCAGCAGAAAAGATGAGTCTACCTATTCCCCTATAACTAATCAAGTAATAAGTGGAAAACATTTAGTGCATCCAAAACTTTCTTTTTCTATTTTAAATTCAATGAGGGAGGGTTAGAACCCCCACCGTGTTTATTGCTGTCTCTGTCCATGTTGGGGAGATTCACCTTTATTCTGGTGACAATGTCACTGGATAGAGAAAGGGGTGGAAATCCCACATATTGAGTTGTCACCCAAACAGGAATAGCAGGAAATCTTCCAATGGGGGACAGCTGTCTAAGGGAGGATTTCCGCTCGCCTCGGAGAGATTTCCTGTTGTGACGACAGGATGTGAAGTAAAATCTACCCAATGGGGGACACAAAGGCTGACAGGGTTCCAATCCTTTACTCTATGCAAAACTACATAAGCATTTTATTGGGTTATATGGTATCATGGCTGAAAAAACCAACCTGGCTTGTCAGGGCCTGTTCACACTTTCGTGATGCGTGAATGCACCCCGCATTCATGCGTGTTTTTAATGTTGTGCGTAAGCCCATTCATTTTAATATGCTGCTGCACGCGTGCCAAACGTGGCAAAGAAGCTCATGCAGAAGTTTCAGCTGCGAACTTCCCACGTTTTTGACCATGCGTGAGTTTAATGCATGTCCACACCAGGCCAAACAGTGCATTTTACTGGCCGCATTAACAAGTAATGGCACTGCAAGTGTGTGGCACCTTTTGTGCGAAAGTACGCGATCAGGAAAGTGTGAACATGTAGCCAAGGGAAGTGCGGGGGAGGGTGATCCCCACAGGGATCTACACCGCAGTGATGACCTGAAGGAAGGGATTGAACCCTTGCCCCACTCTATGCAAAAGTGATGTCTTTCTGGAGTTGCTATTTGAAGAACTCCAGGAGAAACTTTGCTTTAACCCTTGCAGTGGGGCTACCCTGCAAGGGTTAAGTGTTCGTTTTTGTCTAGGTTAACAAAAAAAAAAAAAAGTAAAGTTAAATGATCTGTGGAGCCAGCTTGTAGGTAGACCTTTCCTACCAGCGTCTCTCCCCTTACTCTGCAGCAGTCTAAGCTCCCGTAAATCATCACATTCTATACACTGTGTATAGACGTGAGGACGCTGACTAACATTCCAAAGCTGCAGCAGAGGTGGAGACAGGCTGGAGAGAGCGCTTTGAGAGCTGGATGGCTCGGAGCTTCAGGTGAGTATAACTTTTTCTTTTTCAGGCCTCATTTACACTGCCGTACAATATGCTGCGTATATATGCGCGCTGTGTATTTCCCCATATACAGCATATGCAAATAAATGGCCCCATACACATAGCTGCGTATGGAGCCGTATATTTGCGCCGCGTAAAGATGTGCCAAATAAAATTGACCCGAGATACGTCCGGCCTCCGCATTGCTGCATATTTTATGCACGTACGCGTCTTAACAGTAGATTACATTTTCTATTAAGAATGATGCATTCTAGGATTGCATACAGTATACACTTATATACGCAATATACTATTTTGCTCTTGCGTTGTGTGTGCATGAGGCCTTAAACTTGACAAAATGAGCTCTTAACTTTTTTTTTTCTTCCCCCCTGGAGTTTTTAAAAAATCCTGCTCAGTAGTTTGAGATCCACCCTGAACCATCTTACAGTTTCACTTTTTGCTGATTGCACGCATGGACGCTATTGCATTTTAAATGCTGAAATCTAGCACCTTTTAGAGTTGTTAGTGCATAGCAGATCTCATCACTACTTATATTGATTTGTAATACGCCTTCTGTTTTTTTATTTATATTTAGTTAGTATTTATAGCGCAGTGCAATACAGTGCAATACATGTATATAGTTTTATAGTAGAACACCATCCACTACTTTAAAGCACAGCTGCTTACAAAGAAGCGTGAACACAACCGTAGCGCAGGGGGTTTCTTTATTGTTCATCTTCTACTGTGTTTCCCCCGAAAATAAGACCTACCCCGAAAGTAAGACCTAGCACTATTTTTAAACATTCCTGTAGTATAAGACCTACCGTGAAAATAAGACCTAATTTTGGGGTGGGGGCGGCCCAGAGAGTCATGGGGGGGACTAACCCTTGTGCCGCAACTCCCGCATGCCGTCCGTGTCAGGAAATAAGCAGACACCCATCTGCCTTTGCTTAGAGAGCTGCTGCCTTGCAGAAAAACTACATTTCCCAGCTGGCAGCGGCACAGCGCTGCAAGGAAGTATGGCCAGTGGGGTTGGGTTGAGGTGACTGAGCCTCAGTCACTGTGGGAACTTCTGACTGGAGGTCCATGCAGTCCAGCCTGGCAACGAGAGAGGTGGCTCTCTGGCGGGGATCCCACAGAGAACTGTGGACGGCATCAGAGAGGAGAGCTCCAGGACAGCTGCAGCCTGCAGGTATTGTGACACTGTTCGGGGAAACACTGTATAGCTCTGCTGTTGGGACGGCAACTTCCTATATAATATCAGACTCCTCTATGTAAAACATTAGTGCACAAATTTACAGCACATATCCACTCCACTGTCTTGGTATAATATCGCAGGTCCGTTCTGACCACAGAACCGCATTGTACCAAATTGCAAAAGCTGTTTTCTGATGCGTGTTGAAGGAGGGTACCAGTCCTGCTTTAGCTCAGTAGCCCTTCAGATTCTCTTTGCATCATGGGAAAATAATGGTGACCGTTCAGTTGATTGGATTGAGGCTGTACTGACTTCCTGGGATAATTTCCTCTGAAACACTCCTAAAGGATACCCGTTACACTGTGTCCATTGTGTCCCAATAAGAGATGGCGAAATGAAATCTCCATTTTAAGCATAAATATCCCTAAATGTTCATATATTGAAAGGAATGATGGTAGCTTGTGTAATGCACATTTCTGAAAGATCGATTTTCCTGACTGGCTCTCTATACTGGCTCAGTATTGTAGCCATGCAAGGCAGAATGATTTTTTTTTGGGGTGGGGGGGGGGGGGGGGGGTCTTATAAAACAACAAACTTAGTTTCACCTTCCTGCCGTCTTTTCCCAAGTGTACAGAAATAGTTTCTCCAACAGATTGCTTATGGTTTCCACACTCCATTGGGTTTAAGTGGTTATGTTTTGCTTATTTGCAGTTTTGAGTTGATTGTTCACACTCTTTTCATCCCATGCGTTGGCCTCTTGAAAGCGTATATTATATTACACTTGTGAGAAATCACATGATCTAAATATGGAATCCTGCATGCATGGTTTACCACTTTGAAGTGGATGCTGAAGGCACTATTTTTCTTTCTTTTTAATACACCGAGACGTTTGGAACATGAGAATGCAGTTTATTTTTTTTTGTATTTTTTTTTTTTACTTCTGACAGAATAGCAAATGATTACATCAACTTTGTTCTACACTATTCTCTTTTACAGGATTGATAGGCAACTGGTGTGATTTAGTCAGTGCATGCTTGACAGATTGGCATGACAGCCACCCTGTATACGGTGTGTACAAGTTTTCAAGTCTGTCTGCTTATGAGACGCATACAGTATATAACAAGTAGTGATGAGCCATGGCAAGTACAGCTGCTCATCTACATTAAGGGCTGAAACACACTTGTGTGCTGCAGTGTTTACATAATGCATGGTAATGCATGTTATGTGCATTAGTGCATTGAGGTGCCAATCACTTTGGCACCCCAGTTCCAATGTACAATTTTGCAGCACACCACAACTGGTGGTTCTGACAAGCTAACACACACACACACCATTGCTCTAAACTGGGACACTCATGTGACCGGGGCATTCCTGGTTAAGGCAGAAGTTGGACCAAAAGACATTGTGGCAGCCATTTTGCGTATGCATGTCTGACCTTTTTATTTCAAGCCTATGGCGTGCTTAAAAAAGAACTCTGTGAAAAAGTTTCTTGTCCCTTTTACAGTGGGGCTATCCCCGTACTGCAAGGGTAAAGTGCTTGTTCTCGTCCAGGGTGTAAAATGCAAGTTATACTCGCCTGAACCTCGGAGTCTAGTGGCTCATAGAGTAGTCCTTTCAGCCTTTTTCCCCCCTTCGCTCCAGCAGTCTAAGGAATCTTGAGTCACCACATCCAGTAGACTGTGTATAGCACTTGAGGATGCCGAGGGACATTCCATCACTGCAGCTGTGGGGAGAGAGGCTGGAGGCCAGCTGGCTCCTTGGGCGAGTATAACTTTTTTGTAATTTTTAGCCCAAGACGACCCCTTGATTTTTACACCCTAGACCCCTTGCGGTGCAGGGGTAGCCCCACTGCAGGGGTTAAGAATACATTTTTGCTAAAGTTCTTGAGCTTAAAGACCCCCACTCTAGACAAAAGTTTTGTTTTGGATAGAGCCAGAATGGTTTAGAGCAGTGGTTCCCAACCTGTGTAACCTCAGGACCCAAATTTGTCCTTGGTCATTAAGTCGTGACCCATGTTGCACTGCAATGGAAATCATGGCATTGTGGTACTGTGCGTTCCGATGCGGGAAATAGATCTGTGGATGGGAGGTGCATTTGGGGG